TGGAAGGAAGCAAAAACAACTGCCAAAAATAGAACTCGATGGAGAGCTTTCACTGAAGCCCTTTGCTTCGCGTAGGAGATATAGGACCCTATATAATATAAAGACAATTCGGGGAAATACTGTGCATGACGCTTTCATGATTTGAAATGACAGCTAGATCTGTATTTTCTATGAAATTATTGTCATAGATAAAGGAAATAAATTTAGATTGGAGAGCCCATCAAAATTTTAGGTCGCGACCCGAGGGGTGTCTCACTCGGTAACAAAATGTACACGTACTGCCAAAATATCCTTCCACTGCTAAGCGACTGCCAATGACTATGAAGAAGACTGCCTATGACTGCCATGTAATTATTATAGGCGACTTCCATAAGACTGCCAATGACTGCTAGCGACTGCCAAGAAAATGTACATGTAATTCCAATAGTGCGACACCCCTCGTAGCAACCGTTGTACGCGATCTGCCGCTGCTATAATAGCCGTTTTATATTTATTTATAGAACAACCGCCAAACAAGAACAGAAATAATTTTCTCTTGTCAAAGTCAGAACTTCAAAAATTATAAAATCTCTAAAAATTTAAACCTTCCTCATTGAAAAAATACCAAAAAGTATTTAAAGCGTCCATTCTCAAGGTGATAATTGCTATCATGTAAATTTAATTTAAATTTTATTTACTCAAACCCGTGATAATTGTGAAACAGTGGCATTAAAAACTTAAAAAGCTGTGTTGTGAACTGCAAAAACCATGGTGGATAGTGGTATAACGTCGGTTTTCCAATGTTTCATAGGTATCTCCTTACATGTCCTTATATAAAAGAAAGTTTCTTGTATGCAACACACTGTATCTTATTCATAAAATTAAAAGAAAATAATAATAAATTTGAATAAATAGTATTTGGCGATATAATTCCGGAAAAAGCCGAACCGCTCCGAAATTTTCAAAAGCTTTGGGTCGCGACCGTTGCAAGAATAACGCCAAATAGTGTTTACAGTGTCCTTATGGGCACTTTCCAATCTAAACTTGTTTCATTTATCTATGATTATAGTATTATTTATCATTTACAAAATTTCAAATCCGGGAAAATAACAGCAAAAATGTAATTTTTGCAATTTTCAAGATGCCTTCAAACTTATTTGCCAACTTCGTAAATTAGCCAGACTTGTTTTTAATTATTGTCTATGATGAAAATTATTGTTACGTATCAATGATGTTAAATTTTAAGCATGGAAAGATAAGAGTTACGAACTTCAAAAATTTCCCAAATTTTTGCATCTGCAAGTTTTCAGCAAGACTATGCCTTTCCTTAACGGGGGATGTGCCAGACTGTATAAAAACATTAATAACAGATTAATTATGTTATTAATAAACATTAATAACAGACATTTTTTAGTTTCTTTTATCTGGTGAACTCATCCGAAAATTCTAGACTCACAAATTGTCATTTAGTGTCACCATCCGAACATACTTTTAAACGTACGTATATTCATCCATTGGGAAAATAAGTACAAAAAAATTCCCTCCCTCCAGGACTATTTAATAAATTATTTAACAGAGCTGTGGTAAACTTACTACTTCAAAACAATACCGGGTCTAGAGGAATGCTAATTATTCAAAAACAATTTTTTACCCTTGTTTACGAACGAAAAAATAAGGAATTTCTAAAAACAAAGATTTCTCAATTGCTTTTCTCTCTGTTAAAATGCCGTAAATTTTACGTAATTTGTTTGGAGGGTTGTACAATTAAAATCTCAGGTACCCTTAAAAATCACAAGTTCTAACTAATTAAAAAATCCAGAGTTGTAATTCTTTTCCATTTTAGTTTGAAGTATTAATGTTTTTTTGCGCTACAGCTCCAAGACTGTGGCCAGTGGTAGTAGACAGCAGTGGATGTGGATAGCAAAAAGACAAAACAACTATTAGAGCACAAAAAACTAGTATGCAGGGCCGGCGGAAGGGCCGGGCGACCCGGGCGGCCGCCCGGGGCGCCGGAAGCAAGGGGCGCCACATCAGCAACAAAAATATTTAACAACAGTAATCTAAATAAATAGTAACGAATATCCAGTTCAATAATTAATCGGTACTGTCAATTTCCACATGAACACATTAGCTATTACCACCACACCACAAAGGGAAGAATATCTGACTAAACATTATAGACACTGTACTATATCCTAGATGTGTCCTATTATAGTTTACTGAAATTATGCTCAAAAAAATCCTTAGCACGAAAGCTTTGGGATAGTTTTGATTTCTTCTATATGTTTTTTGAGTGCTCTATCCGAAACTGGGATTTGCGAATTCATTTTCCTGGAAGAATATTAAACAAAATTAAATAAAAAAATATAAATCGGATTTGTTCGTGGCATTTTTATAACTCAAAAGCTAACAACTTTTTGTAAATAATCCTTCTTTCTATCATTCTCGTTTTTATAAATTTCTAAACAAACTGTTTTGGGTCAAGAGCCACCAAAATTAACAGTTTTATACTGACCGCTCAAAATTGCACTTTTTCTATTATCCACACCCTTTATTTGTTATTAATGGCTGATATGCCCTAAAGTTATATGCGGCAAATATTCATTCGCAAGAAGCTGAAGAGGATCCCGATATCCTTATTATCAAAAAAAACTTATAAGTTTGCCTCATTAATTAAATTAATTTATTACTAGTAGTGGGAAGGTATCAATCTTTTGATGGTTTTGATTGTTCCGGATTGAATATGTAGTAATACACTGAAAATGGTAGCAATTAATGGGAGCAATGATAAATTGCTTTGCTTGCTCAGTGTATTACTACATATTCAATCCGGAACTATCAAAACCATCAAAAGATTGATACCTTCCCACTACTAGTAATAAATTAATTTAATTAATGAGGCAAACTTATAAGTTTTTTTTGATAATAAGGATATCGGGATCCTCTTCAGCTTCTTGCGAATGAATATTTGCCGCATATAACTTTAGGGCATATCAGCCATTAATAACAAATAAAGGGTGTGGATAATAGAAAAAGTGCAATTTTGAGCGGTCAGTATAAAACTGTTAATTTTGGTGGCTCTTGACCCAAAACAGTTTGTTTAGAAATTTATAAAAACGAGAATGATAGAAAGAAGGATAATTACCAGCTGAAAATGGTAGCAATGATAAATTAATTTATTACTAGTAGTGGGAAGGTATCAATCTTTTGATGGTTTTGATTGTTCCGGATTGAATATGTAGTAATACACTGAAAATGGTAGCAAAATCGTAGAATTTTCTCATTAGAGGAATCACACAAAGAAAAATTTCTTACAAAGAAATGCATCTCAAACATTGGCTGATCCTCATTTTGCAGGCGACAAAACTGTCTGATCATAATACTGATTCTGCACTAAATATATAATTGTTTGTGAAAAAGAAAGGAAAATTTTCTTAAATTCTTAATAATAAAATATAATAAAAAATAACGTAACTGCTTGCAATTAAATACTGTTATGTTTTCAAAGATCACTTATACCAGAACGAGACTGCCGAAGTTGGAATTCTATTTCTTATGCTCTATATACCGAGTGCGTCTCAGAAGTTTCTCCCCCTATAATTTGTATATTTTTAACACAGCCCTGGCACTATAGATTAAAATTTAAAATACGATTTTTTTAAGCGAAAATGTCAAAAATTGACATATGATATGCCATTCTACTCAGAATGTGATTTTCTTTTGGAATACAGTAGAAATATACCGAGGGTGCATTTAAAAATCAAAAGTTTTGGTCATTTCCGGTCAAACAGGAAGTGACTAAAAACCATTAAAGACGTCAATCAAACCTAATATATGTCATATACTAACATACCAAAACTCGTTTTTTTATCTAAAAAATAAAAAATGTATCGAGACAGGTGTAGAAAAAACAACAATCGCAGACTAAGATTGAACGTAGAGAAGAATTTTGAAGTATCTTTAAGTGAAAATTTATTGTTAAAATAGCATAAATATGCTTAAGTTGTAGTTAAAATATAGGACTGAAGGAAAAAGAGAGTTATATAGTAACTGTTAAGGAGGGGGATGGGGGCGCCAGATAGGGTACTCGCCCGGTCTCAATATTTTCCTTCCGCCGGCCCTGCTAGTATGCGTAATTGTAGGTGACATCACTGGAAACTGCCCCACGGGGATAAACCTCGTGAGATGGAAGATTTTCAATGATGGCTACTGCGGAGATTGCGGAGAGGAAGAAGTTTTTAGAGAACCATAGTGCACCTGTCATGTCATTGTCCGGCACTGGCATACCGACGCTTTAAAACTTTAGGATAAAGTGTTTTGGAGCGACTAAATGAAGCAGCAGAAGTCAACATCAGCTACATCGGGAACTTTGCAAAGAGCTGAAAGTGCTTTAACGCTAAGAAAGAATGGAAGGAATTTTGGTACAATAATAGAGGGGTATCGTTTGTTCTGTATTTTTTATTATATTGACGCTATAAGTAAGCTTCCGTTCCGTGTCAGTTCCATAATTTTTATTGTACAATTTATATCATTACGAAAGTGTTATCTTAAATATTTGTTTTTGTTTCTTTTGAAAAAGGTAATAGATTTAATTAAGACGTGAATGAATAAATAAGTATCAGCAAAATATTAACAGAGCTGGTACAAATGTAAGAAATTGACAACGCTGTTTCCGATACGCTTCAGTCCGTCCGTCAAAAAAATGTACGGAAGGAAAGGATATGGAACGGAAGAGAAACGGAACGGATAGTGTGCATTGTCCTATTCATTTGCATGATATAATATTTTATGTAAACGGAAGGGAGCTTTAAACAGCACCCCAAACCCCAGTAACCTAACCTAACCATTAAGGTTTTTTAAAACTATATTTTATTTATTTTATAATAAATAATGATCAACAATAGCGGCCAGTAAGTTCTGAAGGAGGGTGGGCACTGGGCAGGGCCTCCTTTGTGAGATTTCAAGAAGTAGTAGCTAAGAATTTTGATGACAGTTATCTAAGATAAAAAATAAAACAAAACTTTTAGAAAATATATTTATTTTTATAATTAAAAACAGAGTATTTTTCAAAAAGGGAGTATATCTAGATATAGAAACTAATTAGATAAACATAATACAGTTATTACCAGTATGCAAACTCATATATAAATATTACATAAAATATCATTATATGAATGCTTAATCTTCCCCAACAATTTCTTCATGAAGTAAAGTTCAATTAAAATTATTTATATTTACAACATCACAAAACTAAATTGTCTTTGTTTCGTTCACACTCTCATGGCACTTGTGCAAATAATTGCTAAGTCCTATTATTAGCTTCAGAGTAAGAATACAGGATATTATTTATAATATGGAAAACTCAAGAGTATGAACCTGTCATATACATATAAAATAACATCTATATAGTGTGAGATGAATTGAAAACGACGGGACAGTAAACAACGAAAGAATATTTCAGTTCGAGTATTACTATATAATAATAGTATAAATAAAAAATGTAATTTCAACACTGAGACACCCCTCGAGTAGCGCTCTCTTCATTTGAAGAAAATGTAATAACAATTTTCGAAAATATGCATACTAGAAGAATTATTGATCTTAAGTGTCTATTACGCTGTACTGTTCGGGTTGCTCTCAGGGGTCGGGTAAAGCGGGTGTGTGGCCGAAGGAAATATATATTATATTTCAGAAATCTGCCTAAGGCTAAGCCCGATCCTGTCGTGTTAAGCCACACCCAAAATTCCAAACACACGTGCTTTGATTCAGGCTTGATTAAGGTTTGCAAAGCTTCAGCATTTGCCATAAAATAGCGAGCAATTTGTTACAAAACCATATAAATAATATATCACTGTAATCACAAAACTTCAATCTATTTCCGTATTGTAACGGAATTTTAAATTATATCTTTATTTTCGAGAAAATTTAGTCCAAACATAAGGAATATTTTGTTGATGTTTGACATCAAAATCTTAAAAATAAAGAAGTTGTCTAAAAATGTGCTACCATACGGATATAGTATAATCCTTTATCTTTAATTTCCTTTTTCATTTGTGTAAAAATACCTAGCCAGTTTAACATACGCCGCTGTCTGAAGTAAAATTTGTCTGCCTGCCACGTCGTTTTTATTCAATCAAACCGTATTTGTCTGTCACTCTGAGCTAATATCATACAAAAATGTCAAATTATCTCCAATCGTTTTACTGTCACCTTACGAACACGTATTGCACTTCACTAAACCGTTTTCGTCGCAGGTCATACACTTAAGAGCCACAAATTCAGCAGTAAAGTGATTCCTGTGAACCGATTTCTTGCTGCCGTTGCATATGGTGCAGGGGAGGAGCCTGTAACCTCCGCAAGTTTGACAGGTGGTACAAACATCAGGATTCTGAAATTAAAAGAAAAAGAACAGTGAATACCTTTTCTTCGGTAACTCCAAAATTGAAAAAAAAACACTCCAACAGGGTGAGTTTTCTACGATGTTTTCTATGGGTAGCTCGAAAACTACTATTTACATTTTTTATTAACGAATATTAATGAATATTACATTTTTTGTTAATTTACTATTGCATAAATAATTTCCAGGAAATTCACTTCTCAATTTTATAATGACACATTCAGAAATGGCGTTTTTTTACACCTAACTTTTTTTGGGTTATTAACTAGGTAATTTAAAATATTTAAGTTATACAGGGTAAGGTCTCGATAAAACAAGCATATTTTTTTTGACCGTTTTTCAAGTAAGTTCAAAGTAAGTGAGATATTTTACTTTGAATATTAAAAAAAAATTGGCTTAAATTTTGAGAACCATAGAATCTTTTCTGGGTTTTCTTTTTTGTAAATTCAATCTACTAGGTACGTATGTTGCCATATTATAAAGATCTTATGTTTTTAACTACAAATTAAAAAAAAATCTAAATTTTCAATTTTTTTTCCGCCAAATAAACCCCATAGACTTTTTTTGGGGTCGAAATATACTATCCATAAAAATATTTGAACTTATTTAGGACTCACCCTGTATAACCACTAGATAAATATTTGACTGACAAATTGTTGGTATGGTTAAAACCTTTGAATAAGAAGACTAAGGAAGGAGCATATCAAAAATCTTAGGTACACCGCGATAGGCCTCAAATATGGCCGACTTAAATTCCGGTTTATCAGTGCCGTTCTAATTTTATTTAAAAAATGTAAAACTATGATGTAGGGTAGACGTGGGGTAGACTCAATAATTTGTTATTTTATTTTACGTTGTGAATAAATGTTGGTAGTTATTAAAATTGTTATAAAAATATATAATTCTAATAAAAATAGATAAATTATAATAAGTATTTATTAACACAAACATCCGATACGCTACTGAAGCAGGTAAGTCAAATTAACGTATCAACATTTTTTGACATCTGATCTTTGATAAGTAGTAAATGAAAGCTAAAATGCAAGAAAAATGTATAATTTAGTTAATTTACGTGAATTTCATAAATGATCGGTTTACTACACGTATGTATATTATATAGTCACTTACTCGAGAAAAGTTGTTCCATTATTTCACTCAATTTTTGCTGACATCTACCGCACGCTACACAACCAACTATTTAAGAGTCTTTTTCGATAAATAGCGATAGTGTCACTGTTAATTTAAGTTCTGCCATAATTTCCATCTAGATTTACTACCTTTATACAACTATCAGTAGTAGAATAAATAATGAACAACATAAAATAAGCTCCGTAAAGACTGACAAATCCACAAAATTTCAAATCAAATTCAAATGTGTCAAATGAATGGTCAAACAGAACTGTCAAGGATCCCCACCCTAGAGTGCTTTCTCCTCCCACCATGCATGAATACATGGATAGCATTATGCTCCTTCCTTAGTCTTCTTATTCAAAGGTTAAAACTGATGAAAAATATCTAGATGAACAATAAACTCTTTCTTTGGCCAATTGCCACATTTAATGTCAAGTTAAAATAATAAAATTTTATTAATATTAGTATTTTAAAACTACCGAGAAATAATAAAATTAAAAAAAACACTTATTTACACACATAGAAACAATATATGTATAATGTTCTATACTGGATGCGTCTCAAAAATGGCTCACCCCTTTTTTCCAGATAAAAAAATGAGATTTGGTGTGTTAGTATATGACATAAAATAGAAGTGATTGACGTATCCAATAGTTTTTGATCACTTCCTGTTTCACCGGAAATTACTATAACTATTGATTTTTAAATAACACCCTCTGTATTTTTTCCTATATTCGATAGAAAATGATACTCTGAATCGAATGACATATCATATATCAACTTCTGACATTTTTGCATACGGTTTATGTGAAATTGCAACATACAGTTTAGAACGACAATTTCACTTTAAATACCAAGTATGTGGTACCAAATTATTCGTAAAAAAATGCTTTTTCTAAATATGCTAATCAGCCACCCTTGTTTCATTTGAAAAAATTGATATATGATTAAAAATACGATTTGGGCATCTTTTAATCGGCCAGGACAAGACACAAAAAACATTAGACGATCAAATCCGTTTTTCCAAGGCTCCTTGATTAAAAATTAGTGTTTTTTTAAAACTCATGGCACTGTAGATTAAAATTTTAAATACTATTTTATAAGTAAAAATGTCAAAAGTGGACATATGATCAGCCAGTCCTAATTTATGTCGTATACTAACATGCCAAATCTCAATTTATAACTAATTGATTTTTTATCTGAAGAAATAAAAAAGTTACAGGGGGTTGAGACGCACGTTTTGTTACTTTTGAGACGCACCCGGTATAAACTAAATTTGCTTTACTCTACTTTAATGATTTTGTGTTGTTTCTCTTCTATTTCTCTCTGTTATTTCTCTAAGATCTTTACTGACTTACGGTTCTATCGTTTAAAGTTGAGTTTCATTTGGGCGTCTAGACTTTCTCTAAAAGCATATGTGCAAAGTGTTCCTTTATATATGCAGATCGATTTTTTAAGGAAACTTTAGAGGTTTGTTTAAAGATAAAAGCTAAAAGCCGTTAGAACTCTCTAGAGATAGATAACGTTAGTTGCATTTGAGACATAATTATATTAAAACGAATTGGATAAGTTGTCATACACACGTGTTTTATAAACTTTTTTAGAGTAAGGTGGGTGGACAATGGAAGACAATGCTCCTTTGAAGGCCAACTATAAAAAAGTCATAGTTATTGCCATGTATGACAAATTCCTTTCACTCACACTAAGCTTCATTAAACTCAAGGACGCAGACACGGCGGCGAGTCGCTTGCGTCGCTATTTTCTAAGTACGGCCCCTCGCTTGTTTCAAATTGTAAGTTTTACTGTAAATTAGCATATAAGAATTTGTTATGGTACTAAAGAATAAAATAATTATTTTACTTTGATTTCAGTTAAAATATCGGTAGTGTCGGTGGTCGGTGGTTACTTATAAGGCCAATCAAAAATTTGACGGTTGGTCTTGCTAGGGTACATGGGCTTTACCGTAGAGTTAGGCCTTACTAGGAACATTACCAATCATGAAAATATGATAACACTAGAGTTGTAATAACACATAAATTTTAGTTATATATACGTACAGGGAAAGTTGTAACAATATTTTATGTTTATAATATTATTATTTATAAGGATTATTCTGAACTTTTTAGCTACAAATAAGTTTTGGCCTTACAAAGAACAAACCCATAAGAAGGCCATTATAGTTTTTTTTTTGTAATTTTATTCTAAAACGCATCGGCAACTTATTTGTTATCGATATAATACTCATTACCATAACTATTAAATTATTTCCATTAATATACTCTTAGTTAAACGATTATGTTCAAAGGATTGTTAGTTAAGTTTTTTAAAGAAGATTATAATATGTTAAGCATTTAATTTTTCATTTAAATGAATGTGCTTTTTATGTAGTTTTGGTAAAAGGCGGATATTTTGATTATTACAACTCTAATTTTAAGGTGAACCACTGATTTGAAATATTGGCTTTGTATGGAGCTCTGTTCCTTGCAAGGCCGTTTGGAAGATTAATAAAAGTTAAGTTTAATGAACAGTGATTACATCTAGAATAAGAAAAAAGTAATGTATATGTTACACAATAAATCAAAGTTTTAAATAATAATTTGTTTCTTTCATTTATCCGGTAAATGAACTAATAAAAACTTTTTATTCATTACAGTGGCATTCCATGGCCCACCCACCTTATCTAGTCTAGTTGTAGCTTTATTTTAGTGAGACTTCCGGTTTACACAAGTTCTAAATCTCTTACAGACAACGATGTGTTTAGTGAGACATTGATTCAACTCAAATTATTATTTGTCAAAATTAAATTACAGCACAATATTTGATTTCCACTTTACAGATTTGAGTTTCTCGAATCAGCTAACGTACGTATATATGATTTGTTTTATGTTACCATGGTTAGAATTATCTTTAGCATCAAAGCCTCTATTTGCCGTGTATATGTACGTACATAAAGTTTATAATTTCTATGTAAATCGAGATATCAGATTGAACATATTCCAGATGTGATGTATTTGATACGATTTCAAACAGGAATGGGAGGTATAGTAGGTAACTGTGGATTTTGTAGGTTTCTGTAAACATATTTTCTTTATTTCTATGTACATATATTTGTTTTTATTTATGGTTAAGAGCGTATTTTTTGATATACAGGGTTCTTCACCACATACGACACGGAGTATTGTAGCTAAACAATTTGTTTTTTTACACATTTTAAGTTTTGGCTTCGTTGAAGGACTATTAGAGCCAGAATTTTAAAATATTTTTACAATATACAGACTGTCTAAAATAAGTTAAAAATATTATAGTTGTATATTTTTAAATGGAACACCCTGTATATTATTCTGTTTTTAGATTCTACGATTGAAATTGAGGGAAATTTGATTAAGGTTTATCACACTTAAACCTTACCGTTTTTGAAATATTTTCAATTTTATGAAATTGCAGTAAACATTTTAAGGCTTCATTTCTCCAAGGCTAAAAACTCCAATGATAAAGATAACGTTTTTAATACTTAATATTTACTGAAGTTTATTTATTGATCAGATATTGTGTTGCAATAATAAACAAAATACTACCTTATACAGAATTTTAAAAATTATATTAAATAATTACTAGCTTTAAACGGCAATAACTTGTTTAATTTAAATAGAACACCATCTATCAGATGCACAATTTAATTGTCTATCAAATTGTATTATATCATTTTTTACCTATCTTTTCAAGTTTTCGTAGAAAATGTATTTTCTTATAATTTAGATCGTATTTATCACTATACCCATGGAATATTGACATTTATACATACAATATCACAATATCTGTTCAATAAATAATATTCAGTAAATATTTAGTATTAAAAACTTTGATACCCTTAGAGAAATGAAGCTTTAAATTTTTTACTGCAATTTCAAAAAATTGAAAATATTTCAAAAACTTAAGGTTTAAGTACGATAAACCTTAATCAAATTTACCTTTATTTCAATCGTATAATCTAAAAATAGAATAATATACAGGGTATTCCATTTAAAAAAAATACAACTATAATATTTTTTACTTATTTGAGACACTCTGTTTCTTGTAAAATTATTTTTTTAAAAGTTTGCTCTAATAGCCCTAAAATTACAGTTGGTTGGAACCTTTGGTGTTATGCATCAATATATGTACATAACCATGTTAGCATCATCAGCAGATGATTATAAACTGACGCGCGTTTCGCTAACCATGTTAGCATCATCAGCAGATGATTATAAACTAGATTATAAAAAGTTTAATGACTAATAAACTTAACATGGTTAGCGAAACGCGCGTCCAGTGTAAAAGTAAAAGTGTTTTGGTGTATTGTGGTGATTTAGTATTTCTAATAGCCCTTCAACGAACCCAAAACTTACAATTTGTAAAAATGTAATCGTTTAGCATCAATACTCCGTGTCGTATGTGGTGAACAACCCCGTATAATAAATCCGTTTTTTTTGAACTGAACTGAATTTTTTGAATTTAAAGCATTTGAGATTTTTTAGCGGTTCCATTAAAAAAACGAAAAAAAAAACTATTTTCTATTTTAGTACGTTTGGCATAGAATTTGCAACACCCTGTATGGTTTAAAATTACGATATTTATAGCACAGTAAGTACAGACCTTAGGTACAGACGTAGAATAGTTTTGATTTCCAGACATTTCTTGTATTTTTAATATTTTTTTTAAAAAAGGCCTTTTATGGTCTTTTAGAATACAGTATGAAATAAAAAAAAATACATGCTGTTTGTGTTTAGAAAATGTCATATCGACAACTATTGTGAAGCTTTATTTATAGGATCACACGGTATATAGCAGTGTATACATCATTTGTATGTAAATAAAGAACATTTTGCCTGAAAGTCTGCCAAGCTTACTAAAATGGGTTTTCCATTTTGGAATACCGAATACAGAGAGGAAGGAAGGTTGTGGATAACCTAAAATAAATAAAATATACCTTATAAACTTTTAAAATCTTCCTGAGTTCGCCGGACTCGTTCAGCCTTTCTATGGTTTCTGCATCCTGAAATACAGAAAATATGTATTAGATATAAAGTTTGTACACCTAGATAATAAAAAAAATATAAAATAAAATTAATAATAATACGCAGATTGTATTCAAGGTAATAATCATGAAGTGGGACTTGAATGGAAAAATAAATATCCATTTGAATATAATATACAGGGTGATTCACGGCGATAGAAAATTAAACATTTATGGAGAACGGGTGATATGATTTTTTTTGAGAATTTGAATTTTAACGGCACTTGCTCAAATGGACCTAATTTTTTTAGCGTGTTGCCGCTACATTTGAAAAGTAATATCTTTGGCATTTTAAATTAAAACAACTGCTATATGTTTTAAAACTACTTGCATTTGTGCTTATAGTTTTTCTATTATACAGGGTCGGGCAATAGTGCGTCGGGCATCTGTAGCTCCTAGAATAAAAAACTTGAGAATTTTGTTTAAGTGCAAACCTAAAGTATGTACCAGGATGTATTTTCGGAAAATATTTTAACATCTATAGGGTGGCTCTAAAAAGTGTGGGTGGATCTGGATGACTTTTTTTAAATACAATACCCTGTATATTATTGCATTTTTGGCTTCCTTTCAGATCACTTTACATAATCCTAAGATACGAGTAAATCTATTTCAATAGTTTCAGAGATATTAAAAAATAAATCAAAAATATATATTTTTCAACCCTTTTAAAAAAAAATATTAAAAATACAAGAACTGTTCTGAAACCAAAACTATATTAGATATTTACTTTAAATGGTCTGTACTTACTTTGCTATCAATATGGAAATCGTAAATCATACAGGATGTTAACAATTCTACGCCAAACTTTCAAAAATATAAAATAATTTTTCTTTGTTTTTTTTTAAATGGGACACCCTGTATATTATTTTTTCAATAGATGGAGAATTAAAAAATAAACATTTTTTGCATTTAGAGTATTTCAAAATTTTTAACGGTTTCGCAGATATTCCCGGTTTTGTATTTCATATTGCATTTCCTACAGTAAATTTTTATCAAAACCACCCAATGATTTTTCCCTCGTATTTTACCATTGAAAGCGCCATCTCAAATAATACTGCGTGTATCCGAAATCATATTGATGAAAATTTTGAAATACTTTAACTATGAAAAATTTTCATTTTTTAATTTTCCATCAAATAAGAAAATAATATACAGGGTGTTCCATTTAAAAAACCGAAGTAAAATTATTTTATATTTTTGAAAGTTTGGTGTAAAATATTGAACATCCTGTATGATTTACGATTACCATATTTATAGCAAAGTAAGAACAGACCATTTAAAGTAAATATCTAATATAGTTTTGTTTTCAGAACAGTTCTTGTATTTTTAATATTTTTTTTTAAAAAGGGTTGAAAATATATATTTTTGATTTATTTTTTATTATCTCTGAAACTATTGAAATAGATTTACTCATATCTTAGGATTATGTAAAGCGATCTGAAAGGAAGTCCATTTAAAAAAAAGTCATCCAGATCCACTCACACTTTTATGAGCCACCCTATAGAAGTTAAAATAATTTCCGGAAATACATCCTGGTATATACTTTAGATTTGCACTTAAACAAAATTCTCAAGTTTTTTATTCTAGGACCTACTTACACATGCCCGACGTACTATTGCCGGACCCTGTATATTATTATACCTATTAGTAACAGTTTTTATGTATAACAGGATATTATATAAATATTAAAATGGGCCCTGTAGGTTCTATAATCTTAGTGATATTTGTAATACAAAATAACAAAATGTCTTTCTCTACAGCACTGTATATTTTTTTATAAAACAATGGGATACATTATTCTCTAAAAAAAATAAAACGCTTTATAGGTATAGGTAGATTATGTGAATATAAATATAAAAATGTAAATGATCACTGTATAATTAACTTTTATATACAGTTTCTAACTTCAAGGGCTCCTTTTATCAATATAGTATAATTTTGTCGTATTTTTATTATAGAAAAATGGAACGAATACATACATATATAACAAAACAGACCTTTTTTTTCGAACAAAATCGCACGTTTATATATTATTCAGTGGTTCTGACCGAGTGAGAGAAAATCGAGAAATAGGATAGCTAGGGAAAACATAAATTATTATTTACAATTTCTGACAGGCGTTATTCCCGATAATGGAGAAAAATCTCGTTATATCGATATGTTTTCCAAAGCGACGCAGGTTCCCCAGGGAATAGAAATTTTTCCTCTTATTGATACTGGATTTTAGAAGCATCAAAACCTTTCTTGCTAGTTTCAGTAATTGGAATTGTTGAAAAAGGCTAATAAAGGCATTCCTTTATAATAAGTTTTCATGTTTACCTTCGCATCCAGAGTAATAAAATAAATATAAATGTAAAAATGAATGCTTTTGTGTTGAGCCAACGAAGTAAGTTGATTTCTTTTAGTGACTTTTCTACTAAATACTAAATATAACAGATGACATTTTTAGAGAATGACCCTTTTATTGTTTATTCAGGACCTCTAATGTAAAAACATTGTGGATTCTGGTTGAAGTATATTGATTTTTCGGCTAAAATGTAAATAAGACAGATGAAAGAAGCTCTTAGGGGAATATCATATAAACATCGACTAAATATTCTACATTTACTCTGAAATTATGTGTTGTACAGGGTGTCCCACTAAGAATAGCTCTCTGCTATATCTCGGAAAGTATAAGCCGTAGGGCTTATGGAGAAAAATATTTATAACTAAACGGGCTATGAGAAATTTCTGGAAATTATTTTCAAGTTTGCAAAACGGCCGCTAGGGGGCTTTAACTGCTATGGAAAATAAGAAAATAGCCTTTTACTGAATTTTGCCTAGATAATGGATAATAAATAATAGCTTTATAATCTTCAGTAGATTCTGGATTTTTTTGTTTGAACCATTTTCTCCTATCTGCTAAAATAAAGTGGTGGGGGAAGGTTAGATCTATCTTTATTTAAATGTTAATAACTCCGGACTGGATGATCAGAATTCAATACGCGAGGGCTCGTTTAAAAGAGCGTTTCTTACTCTATTTTATACCATAATAATAATAATAATAAGGTTTTGAACGTAGACGCTAGGGGGCGCTTTCTTACAATCTTTCAAACCGAAGATATTAACAAAATTATAATAAATACCAAAAAATAAGCCCTTAATTACATTATTTTTACAATACGGTATTAGTAGCCCTCTTGATTATGCCCATTCTAACAAAAAAATAAGATAGAAACAGTTAGTTTATTTTAAAATCGACGAAATACCAGAATACCATAATACCAGATGTATTAATATCTAATAATTAAGATATTAATAACAGTGAACTAGAAACGATGATTCAGTGACATCATGGTAGACTTTGGAATAAAGTTGCTTTTGACGTAATAGTATAAACGTCAAATTGTTATTAGATCAACATTTTGATAGTCTTTTATCTTTTGATTGCTTTTTCAAAATGCCAACAACTTCAACTAGTTCAAATAATAAAGACATTTTGAAAAGGCAATTAAAATATAAAAAAGCTGCTAAGACTACTGAAGCTGTAAGAAAGCGCCTCCTAGCGTCTAAGTTCAAAATCTTATTATTATTATTTTTATAGTATCATATAGAGTAAGAAACGCTCTTTTAAACGAGCCTTCGTTTATTGGATTCTGATCATCCAGTCCGGAGTTCTTAACATTTAAATAATGATAGATCTAACCTTCCCCCACCACTTTATTTTAGCAGATAGGGGAAATGGTTCGAATAAAAAAAAATCCAAAATTTACTGAATATTATGAAGCTATTATTTATAGTGCCCATTATCTAGGCAAAATTTTGTAATGATCCTATTTTCCATAGCAATTGCGCCCTCTAGCGGCCGTTTTACAAACTTGAAAATAATTTCCAGCCATTTCTCATAGCCCCTTTAGTTATAAATATTTTTTTTTCTGTAGGCCCTACGGCTAATACTTTCTGAGATACAGCCGAGATTTATTCCTAGTGGGACATCCTGTACATGTTTATACAGCTGCCTATAAAGTGGGTGTCAAAATGAATTGAGCAAAAATTAAATTAATGTACAACGAACTAGTGGAAAGAAAAAACTTTTCAATAAATAACAGAACACTGGCAATAAAGAAGAATATTTGGGACAACTAATACACAGCTCGGGATCTCCTACTACCAGAAATCAACAGAAGAACTAACTTAGCACGGGATACTTAAGGAAGAAGAATGACACTTTATCTAAAGAAGAAAACATTCGACCAATGTGTACTACCAGTCATGACCTATGCATGCGAAACCTGGACACTTTAAACGGGCATTATAAGGAAACTGCAGGTTGCACAACGTTCAATGGAACGAAATATGCTGGAAATATCCAAGCGAGATCGTAGTCAAATACCTCAAGAAGAACGGACAACAGATGGGCCGCAAAAATTACAGTATGGTACCCACGAGGAATTAAGAGACCTAGAAGAAGACCTAACCTGAGATGGAACCATCATATTAGGAAATTAGCAGGGATAACTTGGGCCCGCATAGCCAACAATAGACAACAACGGGCCCAACTACAAAGAATAGAAGAAATAAAAAGAAGAAAGGAAGAAGAAAGAACAGAAGAAAATGATGATGAAAACAGAGTAATGATGCTGATGATAATGACTCGAAAATATTCCGTAGATCATATAAACCTCCTGAGTAAAGGTGTATCATAAGATATTAAACAAAATTTTGTGTCTATGAGTTTATATTTTTCTTTTAGAACAAGCTTAACTTATAAACCCATCCTTTTATTAAATTAGTAATATTTTTTTACCCTGAAAATCTAGAAAATTAATGCCTTCGTGTTGAAACGAAGAACGAAGTAAATTTCTTTCTTTCAGTGACTGTTCTACATGTAGTAAATATATCAGACAGCTTTTAGAGAGTGGCTCTTTTATTATTTATTCAGGACCTTTAATGTAAAAACATTGTGGAATCTGGTTGGAGTACATCGATTTTTCAGCTAAAATGTAAATAAGATAGACGAAAGAAGCTCTTAGGGGAATATAATATTATATATAATATTGATTAACTATGAGTACGACACGCTCAGAACTCCAATGGAAGAACATCGAGTATCGAGTTGACGAGTGATCAACTCGGTCAGATCCTTACAATAGGAATCAATCTTTAGTTTTTCACAGAGTTTTTAACAGGACGGCCTCCTCAACTGATTCACTATCGATGTGCATCAAAAGTAATACAGGATAAGTCCCGCTTTAGTTAAAAATAATTATATACAGGGTTGTTCACCACATATACGATACGGAATATTCTAGTTAAACGATTAGATTTTTACATATTGTAAGTTTTTAGTTCGTTGAAGGGCTATTAGATACCAAGTGCCCCAAATAAGTAAAAAATATTATAGTTGTATTTTTTTAAATGGAACACCCGGTATATTATTTTATTTTTAGATTTTGCGATTGAAATAAAGCTAAATTTGATTAAGGTTTATCCTCGGGTTTATCACACTTTAATCCTTACAGTTTTTGAAATATTTTCAATTTTCTGAAATTGCAGTAAAAATTTTAAGGCTTCATTTCTCCAAGGGTATCAAAGTTTTTAATACTAACTTTTTACTGAAAATTATGTATTGATCAGATATTGTGTTGCAATAATAAAAATTGTACTACCTTATACAGAGTGTCCAAAAATGTATATTAAATAATTACGAGCTTTAAACGGCAATAACTTATTTAATTTAAATGGAAATCCCTGTATATTTTACGAGAATCAGATGCAAAATTTAATTGTCTATCAAATAATTGTATTATACCATTTTTCCTTATCTCTTCAATAATGCAAAAAAATCTCTTCAATGCATTTACTTAATTTAGACATCATTATTATCACTATACCCATGAAATATTGACATTTTTGATTATTTTTAAAGATGTAGCAAATTTTTAAAGAGTACAGATACTAATATTGTCGATATAGCTCACTTATTTCATTAAAAAATAAAAAAATTGTTTAAATCTTTTTTGTTAAATTCAAACTACATTAATTGAATGTTTACATTGATTAATAATAATTGCCCCAAATACTAAAAAACTGAATTTTGTATGTGTATTAGACAGTGTGGTAAAAAGTAACACTTTATAAATTTTATTTAATTTTTTGACGAATGCTTAGTTTTAACAACAGAGACGGACATTTTCATAACTTATTATTATACTGATTTCTGAGTCAAATCTACATTTATTTAGAATAATTATTTATACATTAAAAAATAAATTAAGTATGTAATTAACTCATTTTTGGGCGGAAATTTTGGTGGTATATTTAATTGGTATACTATTTTACAAAGATTTAAATAGCTTTCTCTTTGTAAACAAATGGGCTTGGAATATTATTATTTTTACCACCTGTACATTTTGTACATATGTTGCTTTAAAAAATAAAAAAAATGTCAATATTCCATGGGTATAGTGATAAATGAGGTCTAAATTACAAGAAAAAGCATTTTCTACGAACAAGATATAGGTAAAAAATGGTATAATACAATTTGATACACAATTAAAGTGTGCATCTGATTCTCGTAAAATATACAGGGCGTTCCATTTAAATTAAACAAGTTATTGCCGTTTAAAGCTAGTAATTATTTAATACAAATTTTTGAACACTCTGTATAAGGTAGTACAATTTTTATTATTGCAACACAATATCTGATCAATAAATAATCTTCAGTAAATATTTAGTATTAAAAAATTTGATACCCTTGGAGAAATGAAGTTTTAATTTTTTTACTGCAATTTCACAAAATTGAAAATAATATTTTAAAAACGGTACGGTTTAAGTGTGATAAACCTTAATCAAATTTACCTTTATTTTATTCGTAGAAACTAAAAATGTAATAATATACAGGTTATTCCATTTAAATAAATACAACTATAATATTTTTTACTTATTTAAGACACTCTATATCTTGTAATATTATTTATAAATTGTAACTCTAATAGCCCTTCAACGAACCCAAAACTTACAATTTGTAAAAATCTAATCGTTTAGCTACAATACTCCAAGTCCCACGCGTGGTGAACAACCCTGTATAAACATTAACAAACTTACCCCGCAGTGTTGTCCGTCCACATAGACTTGCGGTATCAAAATGTGTTCGCATCTCATCCTGTCCTTAATTTCGTTTTGATACTCCGTGCTCATAAAGACGTCCCGTTCCTCAAACTTGATCAGGAGCGTCCGCAAAATCTGTTTAACCTTCATGCACGCCTGGTACGTTTCCCTGATGATCCCCATGGATGTCGTGTAGACCACCACTTTACCGGCGTCTTTTTCTTTGTAGCTCTAAAAACAGATAAAATTTAGCTTAGACATCAGGTGGTAGTTACACTGGATACAAAATACCACTACATGCAGCTATATTCCTAATGAGTCATATCATAGTGTTGAACATAAGATGGCTAGTTTACATTTCATAGTTCATAGATTACTTAGTTTTCCACTTACCAATGAAATATATGAAATAGAAAATGATTACATTAGGAATGTAGCTGAGTGTAATGGATATTTTCCTTCACTAGTTGATAAAATAATTAGAAAACGTAGGTATAAGTTTTTGATTTCTGAAAATTCGACTTTCAAGTGGAGAAAGATACGTCAAAATATTTTTCAATACTGTTTGATAACGAGTTATTTCGTGGTCTAAAAGGAATTTTTAAAAATGTCAATTATAAACATGTGTATAGTGCTAATAATAAATTACAACAATTATTAGGTAATCCTAAGGATAAAACACCTCCTGGAACGGTCGGGTATTTATGAAATTTCTTGTAAAGATTATAATCAGAAATAAGTTGGGTAAATTAGAAGATCAATATTAACTAGATTTAAAGAAGTTTAGCTCAGATAAGATATGGTAGACCGGATAAATCTTGCGTTGCTGAACATATTGTTGATAAAGAACATAGTATAGATGTTAATGATTTAAAATTAATTAAACAAGTCTCAAATTACAGGCAATTAGATGCATATGAAAGCACCAGAATTAATAAATGTTAAGATAGTATGAACAGAAGACAATGGTCCAATTCCTTCCAGTTCTCTGTTCCGACTACTCTAGTTGTGGAAATTTAATTGTTACGCTCTGTGGGCTCTGACTCGATTGGCTAGATCTGGCCACGCCCACTCGGTGCCCACTGAGCGAGTATATAAACGCTCAAATTGTAGACATTAGATTAGTCCGAGGCGGAGGCACCGCCATACTCGTCAAAAATTCACATCGCCACACACCTCTCCCAACACCCCTGCTTCGTTCCATCGAAGCAACAATAGTCCAAATTCAAACATCCAACAGCCCTGTCGTTGTGGCATCCATCTACGTCCCCAACCAGACCTCTCGCGAGGACACAAGACACGATCTCGAAGTGCTTCTCTCCTCTACCAAAGGTGAAGGTCACCACCTTCACTTCAGCCATAACCCAAGCCATAGAACATAGCACTTCAACAGTGCCAAATAATCCAAATAACCTTTTCTAGTCCCCCCTCACATCCGAGCCCTCATTCACGAGAAAAATTGGCTCAAACGCCAGTATCGTGCCCTTCTCGACCCCAATCTAAAGCGACAGATTAACAGTCTGGTGCGCGAGATTAGGAAAGAGCTCAAACTTTTCAGAGATGAAAGGTGGGAGAGCTTCCTATTTACGCTTGAGGACGATAAAAAGTCGCTTTGGAAGGTTCAAAAGCGAATGAGAAACACCAACTCACGCTACGTCCCCCCAATTCACGGCCTGAACGGAGTGGTCTATTCCGACGAGGCGAAGGCAGAGGCCTTTGTCGACTCGTTAGAACGCCAATTCCGTCCAAACCGAAATCCCGACGACGACATCGATTTCGATGAAGTTGTAGAAGAATTCTACGAAAACTTCGTAGCCCCTTCATTCCCCCTCTCGAGGCCCCTATCTCCCCAGCGTCTCCCAAAGAAATTTCGTCCATCATCTCCACACTGCACAGCAGAAAAGCCCCAGGTCACGACCAAGTAAACAACATCGCACTGAAACACCTCCCCGATGTTCTTATAACCCAATTTACCACCATCATTAATCTGATAATGTCCCTCAGATATTTTCCAAACGTTTGGAAACTAGCCATAATTATTCTAATCCCAAAGCCAAATAAGAACCTCACTTTCCCAGAAAACTGGCGCCCCATCAGCCTCCTCTCCTCCCTCTCGAAACTGGCTGAGAAGGTTATTCTCTCTAGAATTAACGACTTCCTGGCTAGTGCCGAGATCATCCCTCAGGAGCAGTTCGGATTTAGCCAATCCCTCTCCTGCGAACAGCAAGTCGCACGCGTGGTGGAATATGTTACGCAGGGTCTAAACGCCAAGCGGGGCACTGGTCTTGTCATGTTTGACATCGAGAAGGCCTTTGACAGGGTTTGGCACGAAGGCCTTGTGTTCAAACTTCACCACGTTTTCCACTTTCCCCAACAGATCACTCTCATCATTAAATCCTTTCTTGTCGATAGGAAATTCCAGGTCCGCATCGGAGACTCTCTTTCCACTCCTCGTACTATAGAGGCGGGGGTGCCGCAGGGCTCTGTCCTGTCGCCCACACTCTATAATACCTTCACATCCGATAACCCCAAATCCCTGGAGACTCGTCTTGCGTTATTCGCAGACGACACCTGTCTCTACTCCACTGCCTCGAGCAATGGAATTCAGAGCAGGCTCCAACCCTACATCGCCCAGCTGCTTGACTGGTTTTCCCACTGGAAAATCAAAATCAACGCAGCAAAAACCCAAACCTTGTACGTCTCCGGACGAATAAGGCTCCCACTACCTCCCCCTCTAGTCATAGACGACGGAGAGATACCTTGGGGGGAAACAGCCAAGTATCTCGGAGTCACACTAGACCGACGGCTATCCTGGATCCCTCATATCGACAAGAAAATTTCTGGTGCCCGTGTCACTTATGCTAGCTTTCATGGCCTCCTCAGCAAAAAGAGCACCCTCTCCCTCTCAAATAAAGTCCTACTGTTCAGAACAGTTATTCGCCCTCAGCTCCTCTATGCAGCCCCAGTATGGTGTAGAGCCTCTGACAGTCAAATCCACAGACTCCAAGTTTGTGAAAACAAAATCCTCCGCTATATCACCAGAGCTCCCTGGTATATACGCAACTCCGACATCCGTACCGACCTACGCATCGACCCCATCCCCAAATACCTTCGAGATCGTGCCTTGAAGTTCTACGAGAAAATCGGTACTATCCCCAATAGTACCCTAAAAATATTCGATTACAATCCCGAGGACTATAGAAACTTCAAATACTCCCATCTTAAAACCATTCTTCTAGAAAATTAATTTTGTCCCCCCCTTCTCATAATATAGTCCTCCCATAACACCCACAACACCCCCCCTTTTTCTTCCCCACATATTATCAGGAATAATAGCTGACCATTCTTCGGCGGCTGATTCCTCGGAGGTGGACTTTTTTTAGTGGGTATCAACCGAGTCCCACACTGTCTAGGGGTTATTTCTAGGACCGTCTCTCTCGAGATGGTTATGGAAATGATCACTATTCGTCCATAAAAGATTTTTCAACCACCGCAAAAAAAAAGAAAAAAAAAAAAACATTAGATTAGTTTTGATCATCTGCTGATGATGCTAACATGGCTAGCAAAATGCGCGTCCAGTGCAAAAGTAAAAATGTTTTGGTGTATTGTGGTTTTATTTTGCTGTGTAACACTAAAGGTTCCAATCCCCAACTGTAATTTATGGGAAGTTGATATTTCCACTTATTTATTTATTTTTCAAAAAGATGTTGATGTTTAGTTAGTGATGTTAGTAGTTATTAGTTCTGTTAGGTGTAACTGAAATATTTTAAAAATATGTTCGTGTTGTAAGCAGTAGGTAGCAGTTATAATTATTTATGTTTCATGTTCCGATGATTCTATGATCCGGTTATTTGGAGTTTTAGGCTAAAAACACAGTGGAGTAGTCCATGCGGCGATGCTGAATCATTCTTGTATAATGCATCAAAACATATATTGAAGCAAATCACCTCGCCGCGCACCTAGAATTGAAGCTTGTCATATTCCAGGGAACAATATTAGTGTTGTTGAGAGAAGCTGCTATCTGAACCTATATTTGGTTGGTCAGTTCAAGACCACACATTCAAACACATGTCGAACCAGAGTTGGCTGCTTTGTTTTGTGTTTTGTGGTGATGACGCTAAATGTTCTTAGAATATTGATGTCAATATGACCAAAAAGCAATTGGTTAACTTATGCAAAGAAAATATAGTCCTACTACTCCGGGTGCCCTCTCACCAAGGGAAATAAGACAATGAAAAACAAACGATCTAGCTAGAAAAGGAGCGAACACTCCACTCACTGGACAAAAACCGTTAAACCAACTTAAACCGGAAGTCAAGAACCTGTTGTTCCTCAGAACTTACGACCGAGAAAAATCAAAGATTTTCCTTTATTTAAGTAAGAAGAATCTTCGGATTGTCACGGGGTTTCTAACAGGACACTGTCTCCTCAAACCAAACACCTCAGTAGATTGAAGCTGAGAAACAACGACGAATGTAGATTATGTGGGGAAAATGGGGAAACACCAGAACACCTTATCACTGAGTGCCCCGAGACGACAATCATTCGTGCCATAAACTTTGGTACGGCTGATGTCGGAGTTGGAGAGCTGACCTCTGCGAAGCCGTCTCAGATACTGGCTTAAGTGCAAAAACTCTGAGAATGTATGAAGCGTTATAACTCAAGAAAGGGGAACTTTAAATTAATTAAACAAGTCTCAAATTACAGGCAATTAGATGCATATGAAAGCATCACCTGACCTAACCTAATTGATTTTTATATTTCAGTGGCATAATATTCACGAGTTCTTCAAGGATTAATCCCGTTACACAGCAATAGCCATTATTTTCTCCAAATGGTTTAAAACCTTATATTGTATTGAGCGTCATTTTCTTCATTTATTTTTCTCTTGGCACGTTCTGTGTGTTGATAACAAAGGACTTAAAAAAAAATGCTGGACAAAACAAAATAGTATGAGTTTTAGTTTACGGTAGAAAACTTTTGTTGGTGTAAAAGGAGATCGGAAAAGTCTCGAAAACCAATTAAAACTTTTCTTTAACGTGAAACGGAGATTTGTTGGTTTAATTCTTTTTTAAATTCTCATAGATTTTCTTATTTTCGAAAATTTCCACTAAAGAAATTCTTGATAAAGAGTTTGGAAATTTCTTTAGAATTTCCATTATTTTAAGAATGTTACTGTTAGTAATTATTTCAGTATTACTCGAAAGTAATATGGAATACTTCGTTTTATT